CATCTCAACAGATGCTGAAAAAGCACTGCAAAAAAATTCAACTTCCATTCATGATAAAAACTCTCAATAAAATGGATATAGAGGGAACATATCTCAACCTAATAAAGGCCATATATGACAAACCCACAGTTAACATCATACTCAATGGTGAAAAGCTGAAAGCTTTTCCTCTAAGATCAAGAACAAGACAAGGATGTCCACTTCCACCACTTTTATCCAACATAGTACTAGAGGTCCTAGCCATGGCAATCAGACAAGTTAAAGAGAGGCATCCAGATTGGTAAGAAAGAAGTAAAACTCCCTATTTGCAGATGACATGATACTGTATATAGAAAACCCCTGAAGATTCCACACAAAAACTACTAGAATACATGGATTCAGCAAAGCTGCAGGATACAAAATTAATACACAGAAAATTGCTGCATGCCTATATACTAACAGCAAACTAGAAAAGAAAACAGGAAAACAGTTCCATTTACAATTGAACCAAAAAGAATAAAATACCTAGAAATAAACCTAACCAACAAGTGAAAGAGCTATACTCTGAAAACTATAAGACACTGATGAAAGAAATTACAGAAGACACAAATAAATGGAAATCTACCCATGCTCATGGATAGGAAGAATTAATAGTCAAAATGGCCATCCTGCCCAAAGCAATTTACATATTCAATGCAATCCTCATCCAAACACCAATGGCATTTTTCAGTGAACCAGAGCAAATAATCCTAAAATGCATATGGAACTACAAAAGATCCTGAATATCCAAAGCAGTCCTGAAAAGGAAGAACACAGCTTGGGGTATTATGCTCCCTGGTTTTGACCTATACTACAAAGTTACAGTAATCAAAACAGTATGGTAGTGGCACAAGAACAGACCCATAAATCAATGGAACAGAATAGAGAGTCCAGACATAAACCCACACATTTATGCTCAATTAATACATGATAAAGGAGCCATAAATAAACAGTGGGGAAAAGATAGTCTCTTCAATAAATGGTGTTGGGAAATCCAGACAGCTACATGCAAGAGAATGAAATTAGATTACTGTCTAACTCCACACACAAAAGTAAACTCAAAATGGGTCAAAGACCTCAATGTAAGACATAAAACCACAAAACTCTCAGAAAAAAACACAGGTAAATATCTCTTGAACATAAGCATGAGCAATTTTTTTCTGGACACATCTCCTCAGGCAAGGAAAACAAAATAAAAAATGAATAAGTGGGACTACATCAAATCTAAAAAGCTTCTGTACAGCAATGGACACCATCAGCAGAACAAAAAGGCATCCTACAGCAAGGGAGAATATATTAGTAAATGACTTATCAGATAAGAGGTTAACATCCAAAATATATAAAGAATTCACAAGCTTCAACACCCAAAAAAACAAATAACATGATTAAAAAATGGACAGAGGACCTCAATAGACACTTTTCCAATGAAGAGATACAACAACAGGCACATAATAAGATGCTCCACACCACTAATCATCAGGGAAATGAAAATCAAAACCACAATGAGATACCATGTCACATTGATCTGAATGGCCACTATCAAAAGACAAAAAATAAAAAGTGTTGGCGAGGATGTGAAGAAAAAGGAACTCTTCTACACTGTTGGTGGGATGTCAATTGGTACAGCCACTGTGGAAAGCACTGTGGAAACCTCAATTAACTAAAAATAGAAATACCATAGAACCCATTAATTCCATTCTAGGAATTACCTGAAGAAAACAAAATCCCTGATTCAAAAGATATATGCACCCCTCTGTTCATTGCCTCATTATTTACAACAGCTAAGATATGGAAGCAATCTAAGTGCCCAGCAATAAATGAATGGATAAAGATGTGTTACATATACACAATGGAATATTATTGAGCCATAAAACAAAAAGAAATCCTGCCATTTGTGACAACATGGATGGACCTAGAGGGTATTATGTTAAGTCAGATAAGCCAATTGGAGAGAGACAAGCACCATGATTTCACTTACTTGTGTAACAAAAAATAACCCAAAATGAACAAAAAAGCAGTAGAGTCATAGACACTGAGAAATGACTGGTTGTTACCATGCAGGAGGGGCTGGGATTGGTGCATGGGAAGGGTAAGGGGGATAAAGGGGCACAATAATTCTCAATCATAATATAAGTTGGTCACAGAGATCATAGTACAACATGGAAAATAAAGCCAATGATTCTGTAACAATCTTCCTATTTTGACAGTAACTGTCTGAGTTGTGAGGATTTAATAATGTGGCTAACTGTTGAACCACTGTGTTGTATACTTGAAACCAATGTAAGATTATCATCAATACTTCAATTTTAAAAAATGAGTCAGATGTCTATCCCTCAACCTCATCATTTCTCTCTTCCCTTCCTCTTCTTTTGGTGACATACATTTTTGCTCTTCCTATAGCTTATTATATACTGAATGATTCTCAGATGGCTCACAGGAGAGTGAATATATTTGTTTGCCTTTCCATTGCCAGTACACATATTTCAAGAAACATTTGTGGCATTGAAAAGGCACTTAGGAATTTGTCTTTTTACCACACGTTAATATTTGCCATTTTAAAACAAAAATAAATACAATCTAACTTAATATACCACAAAATCTAATTCTCACCCTAGTTTCATGAGATGGAAACTGCTCAATATTATGTGAAAAGGGGGTCTATCAATTTTTGCAAATGCTGCGCCAAATAAAACTAAACAGGTTACTTTTATAGAGAACTTTTTAGGAACTTTATCATCTAATACTCATGATCAGTCTCCAGTTTAACATTTGTTATTCTCCAAACTAATTACAGAATTCTTCTGTGTTGAACATCCCGAGGGACTAGTGTTCAACAGAATACATTTGGAAAAATGCTGGTCTATTTCTTTATTTACAGTAATGAGTATAAAGGAAGTGATCTATTATTTCTTCCCTTTAATTATCCAAAGTTTGTTTTAAACCTAACTGCTATTTTTATAACTGAAATAGCCAAAATTAAAGTTCCACTATAAAACAGGAAACCCAAAAGGTAATAATGGTTTGAATGTGTGACAATGGTTCTCTTTAGCATTCATTAGAATGACTTAAGTACTGGTTAAAACACAGATTGCCAGTCTCCAACCCTCGAAATTCTCATTTATTATGTCTGGAATAGAGCAAAGAATTTGCATTTCTAGTAAGTTCCCAGGTGACGCTGAGGCTGCTGGTACAGGGACAATACTTTGCAGTAAGGTTTTATTCTCTCAAATAACATGAAATCTTGAGGCTAGTACAGAGACTTCAGAATTATTCTCATTAGTTCATGGGTTTTATCCTCAAGGTCACCTCATGATCCAAGGCAGCTCCAATTCTAACCATCATGTTTACTTCTAGGCAACAGGAAAGGGGTGAAGGCAAAAGAGTGCATCTCCCAGATAATTCAGCTCCTTTTGAGGAGCCTTATTTGCAAAACTTAGCCAAAAGGCCTCCACTAACAGAGAAAATTAAGTGTAATATTTGAGCCAGTACACTGCCATCCCAAATAAAAGTGGAATCTATTACTAAGAAAGGAAGACTGTATTTTGACTCGGTAACTAAAGACTCTATCATACTAATTTAGCTACATGTACCTCAATCACCAAGCCCAACCGATCTGCCTCATAATAAGTTCATAAATTTCTCCCATATGTTACATCAGTATTTCTACTTCCCTAGATCTTTTGATAATTTCTCACCAACTTTATTATAACTGCCTTCTAAACAGTCTCCCTACCACCTTTCAAGGTAGTAGGTGGGAGATGGATTTAGAAGGAGTTAAGCTGTTAAAATTCTTCAGTGACTCCATATTTCCCATGAAATGATTAGGTCTGAGCATTTTATTATTTCATACAAAGCCCTCATCCACCTACAATGACTATTGCCTACTTCATATTTTATACTATCAAACACAACCGTTTCTCCCTTCTCTGCTTTCATCATGCTTTCTATGCTAATTAAGATACTCTTGTTCCTCCTTCACCTTTACTATTCATCCTTTAAGACTTAACTAAAGCACTTACCTCTTCCAGAAAGCTTCAGCTCCTTTTGAGGAGCCTTATTTGCAAAACTTAGTCAAAAGGCCTCCACTAACAGAGAAAATTAAGTGTAGTATTAGAGCCAGTACACTGTCATCCCAAATAAAGTGGAATCTGACACCTCTCTTCCACAGGATGAGAACCTCTTATGTGTAATCTCATAAAGCTCTGTCCAGAGCTATCCCTGGATATTCCATATTGCATTATGGATATTTGTCTACATCTCTCACTTTCTCAATAGAGTGTGTGCTTTGTAGTGTAAGGACCATGTTTTATTTATTTTCATATCCCCAGAACTCAGTACAAAGCAGATGTCTACTATCATTTGTTGAATAAAAGTATCACGCTTCATCATCAGCTGGGCAAACATACTGAAAATCTGTATATGATCTGCCCAACAATCTAATAACTTTTTCTATTTCAATTATCATAGTATAATTATAAAATTTCAGAAAGTAACTGCAGCCAAAAAATCCCTCCTTAACTCCAGTTAAATGCAATTTCAAAGTATAGAAATTTTGTATAGCCAAACAACTTTTATTTTTTACAACTGAAATACCAAAGACACAACCTGTCTAACCATTACATTTCCATATTTTTCTGTTTATTTAACCAAACTTTAAACAAGGTTTTTTAAAGGAACATCTGTAACAACAAAAGAATACTAATCATTCAAAGTTGGCTTCACCATTTTTTGCATTTTTCTTATATTTATCCAAGTTCTCCATCTTTAATTCTTTTTCCTCTTTGTATTGAGTATATTCCGTATCTTTTTCTNTTTCTATTTCAAGTATCATAGTATAATTATAAAATTTCAGAAAGTAACTGCAGCCAAAAAATCCCTCCTTAACTCCAGTTAAATGCAATTTCAAAGTATAGAAATTTTGTATAGCCAAACAACTTTTATTTTTTACAACTGAAATACCAAAGACACAACCTGTCTAACCATTACATTTCCATATTTTTCTGTTTATTTAACCAAACTTTAAACAAGGTTTTTTAAAGGAACATCTGTAACAACAAAAGAATACTAATCATTCAAAGTTGGCTTCACCATTTTTTGCATTTTTCTTATATTTATCCAAGTTCTCCATCTTTAATTCTTTTTCCTCTTTGTATTGAGTATATTCCGTATCTTTTTCTGAGTTTGGTGTTGATTTCCCCTTTGGTTGCAAGAAACATTCAGAATTCAAAACTTGTTCAGCAGTAATTGAACTTCTACAATAGATCAAGCTACAGAGAAGGGATTTGACATTATCATCCTGCAAGGAAAAAGAGATGTTACCAAAAACAAACAAACAAAAGAAAGGGCAAACCTGTAATAAGGAAAGAGGATCCAATTCAAAAACACTTTTAATCAATGATACAGAGCTAAAATGAGTTTTTTCTTATACAGATTTTTTAAGATTTCTACAGAATTCAACTAGTTTTTACTGGAAAGGATTACTCCAGTGATAAAATAATGGAACTGAACTATAGGGAAAAAAATGTAAAAGGAAAAAGAGAAACACAGTTTAAAAATCTCAAAAACAAGCTTAATTCCAATGAAGGACATTTCATGACTTCTTTTCCCTCTTTTTTTTCGGGTACTGGTCAGAGTTTGCCACTATGAAAATGTTACACTGAAGCTCTACCTGGAAGGGTAACCTCCTTTACCTGATCAACTGCTTCTGATTTCAGTCTTGAACTGATATCCAATGAGAACTCTTCTACCACCATTACCATTATCATCATTATGGGAGTCAGAATTTACTATGTGCCAATATTTTCGAAAACATTATTTGTATTAACACATTTAAACAAGATAGTAAGGCTGCTTTTCTACTATTTTCAACTCCGAAACACATGGATATGCTTTCTTTTGATTCCTATGCTGACTTTCAATATGGGAGCCATTCACACTGAATAAAATTTACCTTTTTATTGCTAGCATTCTAGTTAGACTCTGAGATCCTTAAGATCAGAAATTTTAGTATATCATTTCATCCCAAAATGAGCACAATGTCAGGTATATAACAGAATATTCAGTAAATATTAACTATATGACAGAATACTGATGCCCATATTGCATTCTACAAAATATTTTTAAACATATTTAAAGCTAGTACTTTCAGTAGGCATAAACTTAACTAAAAATTAGAAATCTCAACCTTTTAAGAAACAGTACATGCTTTTGAAAACCACAAAGGTAGATTAAGAACAAGTAGAGAATCAATTCATGTTCTTGGACAAAAAATCTCTCATCACAAATGTGTTATTTTTCCCTTAGTTACTTATTAAACTTTACATGATTTCAATAAAATTGGTTTTTTCCCCTTGGAACTAGACTAAGTTAACTATAAAGATGTTTTAGAAGAACAATAAGCAAGAAAAGACATGAAAGCACTGATAAAAAAAACAGCAATGACGAAGAAACTACCCCTATTAAAAGGTATTATAATGTCTGTTAATTAAGGGAATATGGCACTGGAATATGAAGAAACAAACCAACAGTAGAAACGGAAAATTAAAAATATGCTACTGCACAAATGAAATTTTAGTATATGAAAAGGTAGTATTTCCAATGGATGGAAGTGATAACTTTTTAATAAAAGGTATAGGACAAATGGATACTCAATGTGAAGAGAAAAGATTTTATCTGTTCCTCACACCAAACACCAGGATAATTCTAAGTGTACCAAAATATAAATGTAAAAAATAAAGTTGAATAAGTACTAGGAAAAAATTCAATTACTGAATCCCAAAAGTAACTACAGACAAAAAAAATTCTTCCTTAAGCTTTTCCCTCTTACAGATTTCACCAAATCACAAAATACAATCACGGAAGACACAGAAAATCAATCCCTAAAAATCAAACCAAAATGAAACAAATGAACTTAACTATGTATCTGGTGACATAATCACACAAAATAATTACTTCAAGTGACTTCATAACAAATATTTGGACTGTATAATCTTGGTGGAATAAAGATCTATGAGATATATCCTATGGTCAAAAAGAAAGACCTTCAAAGAAATGTTAAACTACTCAATAACCTTATTATTCCTAATACCACTGTTGTTTTCAAACTGTTACATTTATTGTAGAATAAAGCAATTATGTAATTGTTAATATAAGATTATTACTATAAAAGGAAGAGGATATTTGAATTTTAAATTAAGGCAATAATCTTGAATTTGATTTGGAAATCCTATACAATGTCTGTACTCATTTTTCTTTTTCTAAAAAAAGAAATGCATTTCCTTTTGAAAAGACCCAATAGTGATGAGAAATGTTTGCACTGGTATTTTTTATCTCTAAATTTCCTACATGTTGATTCCATTTACTGGGCAAGGAATGTAAAAGATAATCAGGGACATCTTATTCAAAAAGCAAGTTATAAAAGACATACTGTGACAAAGGTCATAGGATCCATCTTGAATAGGGTTCTCAAAAATATGAGACAATCTGAGCAAAAAGATTGACTTTTTTAAATAACTTCAATAAAGTGAGACACATTACATATGTTTAAATCTATGAGATTGTGATATTATAAAACAAAAATTTTGAAATCTGATACCTTCTGGAGGTTGTTAAGATAACAGTTCAATATTCCTAAAACAAATTTTCATGAATGGACTAAACATTGTTTCTCCTATACTGTGCTTTACATCCATGTGACTTACTTATTTTAAAATTCAAAGTCTGTACCTCTTAATGCCTTTTACCTATTTTGCCTGTCCCCTCACCGACCTCCCTGGTGGCAACCACCAGTTTGTTCTCCATGTTTATGAGTCTACTTCTATTTTGTCTGGTCGTTTGTTTTGCTTTTTACATTCCAAACATAAGTGAAATTATGTGATATTTGTCTTTCTCTGTCCAACTTATTTCACTTAGCATAATACCCTCTAGAGCCATCCATGTTGTCACAAAAGGCAAGATTTCATTCCTTTTTATGGCTGAGTAGCATTCCACTGTATGTACATACCACATCTTCTTTAGCCATACATCTGTTAATGGACACTTAGGTTGCTTCCACATCTGAGCTACTTAAATAATGCTGTGATAAACACAGAGGAGCATATATCTTTTCAAATTAGTGATTTTGTTTTCTTTAGGTAAATCCTCAGGAGTGGAATTACTGGGTCTCTAGGTATTTCTATTTTTAATTTTTTAAATAGAAATTTAACCACCAGAGTGCTTTAGTGTCTGTACTAATTTACATTACCAAAATCGTGCACAAAGGTTCCCTTTTCTCCATATCCTTGCCAGAACTTGTCATTTCTTGTCTTTTGGACAGTGACCATTCTGACTGGCAGGAGGTGGTATCTCACTGTAGTTTTGCCTTGCATTTCCCTGATAATTAGTGATGCTGAGCATCTTTTCATGTGTCTGTTGGCTATCTGCATGTTGTCTTTGAAAAAATGTCTATTCAGGCCATCTGACATTTTTTCTTAATTGGATTATTTTTCTTAGTGTTGAATTATATGAGTTCTTCATATATTTTGGATATTACAACCTTGTTGAATATATTATTTACAAATAGAGTCTCCTGTTCAGTAGGTAGTCTTTACATTTTGTTATGGTTTCCTTTAGTGAATAAAAGCTTTTTAACTTATTAATGCAGTCCCACTTCTTGTTACTGCCTTTGTTTCCCTTGCCTGGGAAGACTTATCCAGAAAAAACTATGCCAATAATTCAAGAGTATACTACCTATGATTTCTTTTAGCTGTTTTATTGTTGCAAGTCCCATATTTAGTTCTTTAATCTGTTTTGAGTTTATTTTTATGTATGATGTAAGACAGTGGTCCAGTTTCATTCTTCTGTATGTAGCTGTTCAGTTTTCCTAATACCATTTGTTGACAAGACTATTCTTCTCCATTGTATATTCTTGCCTCCTTTGTCATATATACATGGTTTTATTTCTGGAATCTCAATTCTGTTCCATTGATCTATGTGTCTATTTTTGTGCCACTATCATACTGTTTTGATTACTAAAGCTCTGTAATATAGTTTGAAATCAAGGAAGCATGATACCTCCAGCTTTGTTCTTTCTCAAGATAACTTTGGCTATTCAGGGTCTTTTGCGGTTCTATACAAATTTTAGGATTATATACTCTTAATTCTATGAAAAATGCCATTGGTATTTTGATAGGGATTGCACTGAATCTCTTGACAACTTTACATATAATGGTCTTTTTAACATTAACTCTTCCAATCAATGAGCATGGAATATCTTTTTATTTATTTGTGTCATCTTTCATTTCTTCTATTAGTGTCTTATGGTTTTCAGTGTACAGATCTTTCACCTTCTTGGCTAAATTTATTCCTAGGTATTTTATTCATTTTTATGCAATTATAAATGGGATTTTCTTGATTTCTCTTTCTGCTAGTTCATGATTAGTATATAGAAATGCAGCAGATTTCTGTATATTGGTTTTATCATCCTGCAAATTTACTGAGTTCATTTGTTAATTCTGACTTTTTTGGTGGAGTCTTGAGAGTTTTCTACATACAGTATCATATCATCTGCAAATTGTGATAATGTTACTTCTTCCTTACCAATTTGGATGCCTTTTATTTCTTTTTCTTATCTGACTGCTGTGGCTAGGACTTCCACTACTACATAGAATAAAAGTGGTGAGAGTAGGCATCCTTGTCCTGTTCTGGATCTTAGAGGAAAAGCTTTTAGCTTTTACAATGGAATATGATGTTAGCTGTGGGTCTATCATATATGGCCTTAATTACGTTGAGGTATGTTCCTATACTCAACTTTGTTTTTATCATGAGAGTTTTTATCATGAATGGATATTGAATTTGTGATATGTTTTTCCAACCTCTATCAAGATGATCACATGGTTTTTATCCTTCCTTTTGTTAATGCAGTGCATCCCATTGAGTGATTTGTGGAAATCTGCTTCCAGACTAAAATTTAGGGTAACAGTAGTTGTTGGAGGAAAGATTACCTTTTTTATTAAAATCCTTCAATTAAAAGGATTCCAATTAATAAGCACAGATGAATGATAGAACTGGAAAATCACCATTTTTCAGTATGACAACATCTCTAGACTATAATCAGTAATTGGTACTAAAACTATTAGGCAGTTAATGAAAAATTAAATAATGGATGGATTAGGATGACAACACTGAAACTCACTGATCAGTCTTACTGACAATCAGATGCCAAACGATACCCCTCATATGACACAATAAGATTGGTAAAAACACCAACTATAAAATTTACTTGGTGTAAAAATGAGACTGAATTTAATCAAGACTCCA